ATTAGGCAGATTTATGGCTCCATGAAACATGTTATTACCCACAGTGCGCTCCACTGATGTTTAACCTGATGTCTTTATGAAAGGGCCATTGTTCACCTTGCCTTGACGAACTCTGTGATGATTAGAATACCAGACTCCATTTGACTTTGTGGTCAGACAAGCAGAGGTCAGACAGGCATTTAAAACACATCTGGATGAGGGGAAATCCAATACAACATATTTTCTCAATCTGCTTTGACTACATGTCAGGTGTCCTGCCTGAACCCTTTTTTTCCAGGCAATTTGAAATGAGAGATTTCTGTATTGATTGCTTTGTTCTTGTTATTCTCTCTGGTTTGAAGTGGGCAGGGCTCCATTGGGAAAAATATGACACACACACACACACACGACACATTTGATTTGAATGACAGAACAGTCATGGGGTGATTTGTTAATGTCGCCAGGCCATTGTTAATAAAATAATCTCATTTTTAAGGGTGCTTTTTGAATTTTAATTGTTGCTTATTTAGTCCTGAACAGAAATACAACCAACAACACAGTGCCATATACATTACACTAATTAAAACTTATGACTGGGGCAAATAATTCACAGGAAAAAAAACAACTATTTTGATAACTGACAAACATCAAAACACTTCTGCCTCATCTCTGACAAAAGACCCAAATCTATAAACAGACAATTGTGTTCACCTTCTTTGTGCAGTATGGCTATTTAATCTGTTAGAGCAGCTCATGCCTATGGGTTTTTCTTCTGCTCAGAGGCTCAACGGATGGATTGTTGAGGCTTAATTTAACACTACAAACAATGGAAAACAGCCGCAAATAACAGCAGCCGTCATGAGCTTATCAGACTGAGCGGGGATTACAAGGGAAATGAATCATTAACACTACTGCCACTTGAATGCAGCTAAAGCATGATTGGCAGGCTGAACGCTGGGTGTTAGATGGGGGAAAGGAAATGGATGGAGCTGCAATCTGATACCCAGTGAAGCAGGTATCACTATTGGATAAGAACTCCAGGAGGCCCAGCCAAAATGACCCACTGTGTGTGAGTGGAAGGCAGAACTGAATGAAGAAATGGATGAAAGAAAATTAAAGCATGAAAGACAAGCTGCATGGCCACTTCGCATGGATGAATCTCACACACACACACACACACACTCTCTCTATCTCCAAAGCCCATGAACCAAACACCATGCTGATAGCTGGTGTTGATTTTTAATGCTGTCTTCTATTTATGGTTTACCCTTTATGTATTAACAAATGTTTTGAGCTAGCCATGGTATGGAGCCCAATGCAGCCCCAAAAAACGACTCCCACAAATATGACACCTGGTAGATTTTAATGGCTTTATGGAAAATAGTAGGATGCCACGGTGGTCGAGAGATTCTGGGTCATGGAGGGATTTGTTAAGTTATTACAGTGTCTCGAGCAAGGCCCTTATCGGCACCTGCCAAGTCTCTGGTGGACCCAGTGGGATTGCACTGACCCTGGTGGAAGAAATGGATATTAGAAAGTCTTCCCACTGAGAGGGGGGAAATGGGTGACAGAGCAGGGAAAAATGCAGCGACGGGAGGAAAAATGACTAGAACCTCAAGGACACAGAGCTGCAGCAGCACTATAACTGAACAAAGACCCAGCACTCACATGAGGACTGGACAAATCAATCTGATGTGGTGAGTAAATTGAGAAGTGGGTAAATGACTGGAATTGCCAAAAGAAGAGGTATCACCTTTCATTCTGTGAATTTAAGATATGAGATGTTGACTAAATCTGTCTGACAAAGTAAAATACCAGCTGTAGCCTGACTTTATACACATTTAAAGCTTCTTGTTCTAAATGCTGACCAAGAACAATCAACTTGAAAAGGCTAAAATAAAAATTGTTCAGTGTCACTTGGAGAGCCTCCTGCAAACCCCCACAAGTACAGTATTTGTGAAAACACACCACCATAGTAAACTCGTGGTCTTACCGAGTGTTTGTTTATTTTTCCTTGTCTGAGTGCACACCAGTTTTCAGTGAGCACATTCTCCAGAACGAAAGTTGTAGCATTAATTATCTCCAGCTGATGTAAAGGCGACATTCGTCATTTTGACTGGCAGCAGGAGGAAGTGTTTAATTTGTAAATTATGAGATCCCAGAATATCACTTGGTGACAGTCCCAGCCTGTGAATATGGGGAGAGGAGGTCCCAGAATGAAACAATTTCTTCAATGACTGGTGCATTTGTAGTAGTTTCCACATTAAGGGAGCAGCTTAGAGGCATTTGTGAGTTATAATGCTGAGCACAACTAATGCTAAATACATTAGGACTGCGAGGCTATGGCCTGTAATCCGTTCAATCAATAACAAGCATGACATCATATTTGGGGCCTTATTACTCCATTACGCATTATTATATTATTACAGCAACAAATTTAAAGCACATCAGAGACTATATAACACAGTAACATTAAGTAAACATTATTTAAGACAGTCCACAGCACAGTCATGGCGCAGGAGTCCTCCATGTTATTCCCTGCTTTGCTTCAGTCTGACTGGCTGGTACTAACATTTTAATAAAAAGGACACATTGCAAAATTCACTGAGTATTTTCTGACATTCACATGGGTCTCTGGTGTGTACAGAAGCACACAAAACAAGAAAAGTAATCCGTTTTGCTTTTTCCCCAAATTTGTAAAAAAAAGCCCTGCTCACATGCGGTATTCAACCGATATTGTCTCTTTTTATGACATCATACGAAATGATGTGGCAGTTCATTTCATAGGTCCTCCACCCACTGGTTATGTTCTTATGTAATTAGCCCAACTGCCTGTTTCTATTGTATTTAATTCATATAATAAGCTGTTGTAAAAGGCTAATTGTACAAAAAATATTGGACTACTCAATTTCTTTCATACGTCAATGAGGTGCCGGATTCGGCTCGTTCTGGCACAAGTTAACCCGAGTGCAGCTAAAAGTGAGAAGCCTGTTATCTGAACATTTACTGTTACACATTTGCTAATAAAAGATGGATGAGTGGTTTAAAAGGTTCAAAAGTACAGATCACTGCAAACTATTTGGTGTGGGTGGCAAATCCTGATAAACAACTCCACAAATAAAAATGATGTGCAGTCAATCTACTAAAACAGCAGCAATAAACAAATGCTACTAAAGGTTATCCTCGCCAAGATTCATGTTGTGAAGCAAGAAATTACTCCATTGTAAATGTCTTATTACATTCAGGTTTTATTTTCCTTTCCATGCACTGAAAAACCTGCTGCATGCAATGCCACCTGAACATTAAGAAATTATGTTAGTGGTGATGACATCTCGCATCACCAGGACCACCAAAAAGTTTCTGGGCTTGTCCCATCTCCTCTTGGTTCTCAGAGTAAAATGTTTTCCCTTTTATGCTAATTTAAAAAGGCAGAGCCAAATGATAACCAGTGGATGAACTGTCAGGAAGCAGGTAGGATCAAGTGACACCTTATTGGGATGCAAAAAATAGACCAAGGAGAAAGTGATTCTTTGGTGCTGTAGAAACTTTAATGTCAGTCTGTCATTAAGCATCCTGTGTGGATCTGGTCTCAGAAATGAATGCTTAAAGATCAGACCTGACCCTGCTGTGGTGTAAACACCAGAACATGCTGCAAGAGATCAGACCTCACCCTGCTGTGGTGTAAACACCAGAGCAAGCTGCAAAAAACAGCCATGTTAATAATTTGTTGGGCTCACAGCATACTGAGTCAGTGCTGAATGCTTAGATGGAAAGCACATCTGGACAAGTGAAGTCTACAGTCTCCATTTCATGCATCAAGAAGAGAAGGGAGAAAGACAGTTTTGCTTTGGAGATTTGAAACCTAGAGGACTGTTCTGCCTGCACTTTCTTGTAAGGCAAGAAAAGAAAAATCACCCAGTAGAAAGAAGATTGGTTCGATAAGGCCTCCTAAATGTCTTATCTCTCTCAATTTAAAACAGGCATGAAAAAAAGGCCATGTTGTCACTCAGGCTTTTAATTAAAAAACGTGCATGTTCCCAGGAGAGATTAGCTTGAAAAATATATTTCACTCTTAATGTTTATTGCCTCCAAATGACCTTGATCTTGTAATACTCTCTCTTTTCTTGTCTAGTTCAACTGGCCTGTTCCAATCTGATT